CCCCAAAACCCCAAAACCCCAAAACCCCATAAAGCTGAGATTATCAGATAATTGCATGAATTGATAATTATGAAATCAAGATTTAATTAATTTAGTTTCCATTTCTTTATCTTTGTATAGAATCTCTTATGCTTTTTTTTATTTCTAATTTTACTACTTACATTGCTTTAATTTCTACTTTTAAGATTTCTATCCTTCTTGGTTGTCAAGGTTAATACTTTTCTTTTTAGATATATTTTTACTTTTTTTATCAATTTTCTTATCTTTAACAATTTAGGATGATTGATTGTGAGTCCTTTTTATCAATTTTGATGCTTTAAGTTTTTCAAGTATTTATTCACTAGACTTATTAGTATTAGTGTTTAGCAAAATTTCAGGATTATTATTATTTTAATCCTCAATATATGCTACTTAATCCATTACTTTTCCCTGTTTTATATTTTTATTTTTCACTACTTTTACATTTTTTACTGAATTGCCTATAATTTTTCTAGTAGCATTGATTTAATTACTCTTTTGAACCTATGGATTATCTTTTTAGAGATCATAAATTTCCATATTCCTTTCTGGAATAGAAACATTAATTGATTAATTATCCTCAATAGTAAAAGTTTTGAATACTTGGCACTAGGGTGTTTACTGAATCATTATTTCATCTTTATTATTATTTGCTTTTTAATTGTCTATTTTGCTTTGATCCTTCACTCTTCTTCCCCTTTTCTTTTCATTTTTATTCATGGATACAATATGTCTCCATCTGCATTTCAGCTGGCTGTCTGTTCGAATACTGCCAAACTCTTTAGCTATTGAAGCCCATGATGATCCATGTATTCCTATTAATTCCATTAATCTATAATCTTCATCTTATGTCCATTGCTTAGCTTCTATTTTGGGGTCAAGAATATTTACATACCTTTCTCTGCACTACAAATCATTTCTTTTACCCTTAAAGACAGCCTCTGAAAGATCTGCCCATCGCTTATCTCCATAGAATTTGACTCCTACTACTAAATGCACATCTTCTTAAAATGTCCACCAGGTTCTTATAACATTTGGATTTATCTTTACAAATCTCTATCTACATTCAAGAGATGTCTTGCCTTCTAGATAATATCTAATTTCTGACCACTTATTTTATCCATGCAGATACACAGCCTAGAGCAGTACTTAATCTTCCTCAGCTAACCAAACCTTCTCATTTAAATTCTTTTACTAATCTCTCAAACTTAAACTCATTTCCTTCGAATCATTATCATCTTTTTAAAGCAACTTTTTTTCCTCCTCAAATTCATTCTAAATAATGGTTGTTGTCTTAGGTATCAATCTCTTATTTAATTTCAATAATTTTTGGTTTTCAGCCTCCTTTTCTTGTATTAATTCCATACATCTTCTGACTATTTCTAGTCGATGCCTTTGCTGAAAATACTTGTCTAGATAAAATTTCCACTCGTCAAAGCATTTAAGCTTATTAGCATTATATCCTAATTTTGAGAGGAGAGTTTATTTCAATACAAGGTCTTCATCCTATGAAAACTTAAACCTATTAGTCTGATAAAGAGGATCTTTTCTTTTCTTTGAATTTTGTACACTCTGTTCTAATTCCTCGTCTGAGTTTGAATCGTAAGTTGAGTTGTATATAGTCTTAGTCTAATTTTCATCTCTACTCTGGTTATTGTTCACCATATCTTCTAAATCCTACATGTTTGAGTTAATCTACCAACCATTGAGTGGTATTCTTATCAGAAATGAGTTAGATTGACTCTCATTAATCCCAAACTGATTTCCTTGCTCAATAATGTTTTGACTAGTACCATTTGGTCAGGTAATATTTTAGTTGTGATTATTAATGTTATTATTCGACATAGTAGTAGAGTTAAACTCAAAGGTCCTTGTTTCTATCTGTCTGATAGCCTCCCTATTCATGGCTTTTCTAATCATATTAATTACTCTCATCTGCTTGTTATAAACTGAAATATTCATAGATCTCTTTTAAGGTCTGTCAAAGTTCTCATAGATAGATATGAAATCTTCAATTTTTTAGGGCTATTAATCGACTAATCTCTCATTTTTCTAGTCGCAATATCTAGTAATATCTATGCACTTATCAAGCATATTCAATTGCTAAGATATCATTAACTTTTAGCTACCCACGTTAATCAGATTCTTTTCTGAGATTTTTTGTTGCTCTCAGTTGTTTAGTAGCAATCTCTCTAAGCTTTTTATCAAAAATTACTTCTCTTAAATTATAAGCTAATCCATTTTAGTTAAATAATTAATTTCTAATAATTTTTTGCTAATATTTAATTTGATTTATTTACTGTATTTTTGGAATATGGGGTTTTGGGGTTTTGGGGTTTTGGGG